AAGCTGTTTTGCTGCCGTGCACACAGGAGGAGCCTTGGCAAGCAGGCAGCTCCCCTCCATGCTGCAGGAAGAAGGCAGCAACGGCAGGGCCGGAGCGGGGCCGCATCTAGACGTACTCTGCGTGCCTCCGGGGCCATTACAGCAGCCGGCGCTCGCTCGACTCGGCCGCGAACAACCCCCGTCGCCCACCACCAGCCTCACGGCCTCTCCCCAGGCCCACGCTCCGCACCAGCAACAACGTGGTGACTTAATAATCGTTAATTAAGAGTCCTGAGATTTCAGGGGCGAGGCAGGAACATGCACGCTGCACATATCCACTATAATCAGGGCTTGGGGGAAATAATTAAGGGAAAACAGAACGTGCTGTGGAAACCAAGCGCCAAGCCTGTCAGAGGCGGGAGGCCTCGTTAGGAATCCCATGGAGCAAACGTCACCGGCTGGGAGCACCTGCATGCACGATGTTGCATGGCTTCCCAGCACGGCGGGACTCTCTGCCCTTGGAGGTTTTTAAGACCCGTCTCGATGAAGCCTAAGCTGGGATGCTGTAGTCAGGGCTGGTCCTGCTTGGAGCAGGGGTTGGACTCGCTGTGACCTCCTGGGCTCCCTTCACCCCTCATTTCTATGACCGCGGGAAGCCGTGCTGGTCACAGAGGGGCCAGGCCCCCAGGCTCACCTCACCGCCTCCTTCTGGGCAGAGCGGACCAGGCTAGGGTCATTTGCACCGGATGCTTCTCTTGTGCCGTTGCAAAAACGTCGCGTGGCGCAGCAAATGAATCGGCGAGCAAAAACAGGAAGGGATGGGACAAGGGATGGAGGCAGGATACACGGGTTTTGCCCTCCTCTGTGCTGCAGGAGAGGACGTACTCTCCTGTGGCCGTACGAACGGATGAAACAGCTACCGCAGATCAGCTGGTGCTTGGGACAGGCTAAAACATGCCCTTTACCCTAGGACGACTGTCTTTCGGTCCACAGCCGGCCTGCCTCTCCCTCTCACACCCGCCTGCCCACACAAACACACCATGCATCACACAGCGCTGCTGTACCGAGCCCCTGGGCCCTCTCGCCTCGTCTACGCAAGGGCAACTCAATGACCGTGCTGTATCTGCAGCGGTTTGTCAACTCGGCCACTTTCCTCCACTTATTTTATCGCAGAAGTGTTTGCCCCGGTCCCGCGACAATCAGATGTGCCCGCATTTATGGCTATTAATGGATGTTTTGGAGGATTTGAGGGTTTGTTTTTAATTTTTTTGCTGGGATCTTCAATTTATTTGTCTCCCACTAAATTCTCCAGTCTATTCTCCATTGACCCATTGTCTAACGTATGACACATTAAAGCCTATAAATAGCAAATGGAAGAGCCGGGTAATGGGATGATTAAAGAAATCTGCCATTCCGGTTGCATCTCCCTGACGGTTTGTAATAAAGATGTCAGAGAGCTGAATAGATAGTGCCATAACTCGGAGCGCAGGGCGACAGCTCGCCCCAACTGAGGAGCCTTGATAACAATAATAAAAATCCTCAGGAAGGAAGCAAAAGTCAATGGTAACACATCTCCAGAGTTGGACCCCACGGGCACACTAAGTCACGACGGCCAGGCCACCGGACAAGGGGGGAAGGTGGAGAGCAACACATGGATGTGTGAGTGAAAACCAGCCATCTCTGCCTTGCACCGCTCCACCGAAGCGCCCGCGGGAAGACAGCCTGGGCGCTGGAAACTGAAAGACAGCAATGCTCGCAAAGAGTCACTATGGTTCAACCAACTGTTCCAGCCTTGAGGGACTGGAAATAATTTGAGGAGAAGGGGAAAAACCCAGTAGCACAGGCATCGCTGCATGGTTGCCAGGCCGGTCCCCCAGCCCCTACCCGGGGGCTCTCCCACCAGGAAGGTTTGGAAACACTCGCAGGAGAGGAGAGCTCTTCCCCTCTGCAAGCAGCGACCGTCCAGCTTATCCGAGGGCACGTTCATCACCAAATAGGAGCCTCGAGTCAGTGCGACGATGCCCCTTCACCCCCTTTAGCAGCATGAAATGTGCGGGGGGTAATCTGGGCTCAGTGGAATAAAACAAGAAGGCGTGAGCACCACATCCGTTACTGAAAGGTCATGCCATCGCCGAGGCTGTAAAACAGCAGCCCCAAGGCAGCTCTCCGTGGGCTTTTTCTTGCCAGGGATAAGTCACACCAGGCCACTGCTGATTGGCACCTGTGCTCCCAGGAAATTGGATAATTAATGCCTGCCGGATCCTGCCAGGTGCTCTCATTTTTACATGTTGATTGGCACCCCCCATATCTGTACCTGTCTAAGCGGCTTTGAGCGATTCTGGACACTTTGCATCTCAAGAAGAGAAGGAGTCACTCTAGTCCCTTCTCGCTGCCGGCCGCTGCGCCCCGCGCCCGCCCGAGGGACAGCTTCAAACCAAGGGCCCAAGCCCTGCGTCTGGGGCAAAGAAACGCCCTCTCCCTGCGTTGTTCCCGATCCCCGCCTGCAAAACAAGGGGACCGATCCCAGAACGCGAGGGAAAAAGGCCTTGATGAGCCTTTCTTCAGCGGGAAGGATTTTGGATGCAAACCTTCAAAGTCTCAGAGAAGGGGAAGAGAAGAGAAGGCTTATCAGGGAAACGGGTTTGACCACAGCCAAAGAGTCCCTCCTTGGGGACTTCTCCTCCAAGCAGCTATGATCCATTTTTTATCCACATTTCCTTTCGTTTCTCCCCTTTTGTTGACACATGACAGCAGAATCGATAGCGGAGCGAGCCGTGCGGAGGCATGCTCCGGTTCTCAATCCCCTGCCTGCGCCGGTGCTGCGAGAAGTCCCCGGCTCTGTCGAGGCCCATTATTTAATGCTCTCCTTCACCCAGGAATAATTGTGACAAGATCTGTCAAACGCAGGAGTCGCTTGACCTCGAGCCGACTCATGGGATGCGCGGGGGATGAAAGGTCCCCGCTGCACATTCGATAAGCGTGAAGCAGTCAGCTCTGGTTCGCATAAAAGGGAGTTTTTAACGCCTCTGACATGTCGCAGAGCAGCCGTGATGTGCAGCGCGCTGCACCACTGGCTCGCAGGCTGCAGCCCTGGGGCCTCTCCGACATCAGAGCGCTCCTAGTCTAGCCAAGGGGACTGCAAGGGCCCTTGAGGCTCTGACGGGGGCAAATCCTTCCTCCCACCATCGTCGGCAGATGACACGAGGGAATGTTCCTCTCCACCATCTTCTGCTGCTACACAAAAAGCCTGAAGAGATGGGCCGCTCCTGCAGGATTTGGTGCGTGGGCAAGCGGCGGTAGTCACCCACCAAAACTAATCGAGCATAGCACGAACTCTCGAGGTCCAGGGCAGGTGTTACCAGCAGACATCCGAAGTTGGGCAGAAACTTTCCGCGAAACGAAAGCAGGACACAGGCCACCTGCCCGAGCTAGTACAGGGATGGCAATGTTTCCGTCATTGCCCATTTTAACTTTGCAGGTCCTTTCAGTAGCCGGCTAGGACTGGTTGGGGGAGGATGCTTCTTATGCAAGTTGACCAAAGTCAAATCATCACTGGGGTCTATATCTGCCTTCATATCTCCATGAGCAAGTTGTCGGTCGCAATTTCCCAGGCTTGCTTTGGCTGAAAACCCTGAGGTTGGAGGATCCTGGGCTTGACAAGGAAACCAGTCCCAAAGGGCTGGTCGAATGCAGCTCAAGGCCAGACTGACATCCTCTCGGATCAGGATCTGTTCCATCTTAGAGAAACCGGGTTACTGGTTTTAAACCACGTGCAATAGATGGAAAGACAGGGAGGGAGAGAACGCACTTCAAAATGAAGACAACAGTCCTTTTTGAATAATTAATAAGTGATTAATGGCATAAATTACCATAAGATATGTTATGACATGTTGCAGAGCCATTTATAAATGCGTACGGCTGATTTTATGGCCACCCGTTATGAAGCCCTCATAAATTGAAGTGTGTAAATCATGCGGGGCTGTCTCTAAAATGGGTTAGAGCACATCTTAAAATAATTTATTAAAGGGAAGGCCATTTCTATGTGCACGGATTCATAAAGTCTTTATAAATGTAATCCTTGCTCAGACTCTTACTGTTATAACTCAGTAACCGCACTAGACACTCAAGTAGAGCTCAAATTATTGCTAACGGGAAGGCAGCCACCTGGGATGCCGCAGCCCAGGACACACAAGTCTCCGAGCTGTTGTGACCTTTCCCACCTCAAAGCACCGGGGAAATGCAAAAGAACGACCGATGCGTCAGTGCGAAACAAAAGAAAACAGCTAAACTCATGGACAAAGGCAAGATCGTGAATCTGAAAGAAACCTTTCCATGGCCATACGTGCACGCTGAGCCTGCGAGCACCAGCGATGGCTAACACCGCGGAGGAGACAACAGGAAGCGGGTTCATCTAACCGACGGCTCTCGAGACCCGTCTGCGGGGAACGAGCGGGACCATGGGAGAGCGCCGGCGTCTGTATTTGGTGGGTGGGAACCAGAAGCAAATGCATCTCAGAGAACTCCTCCAAAACTCCCGCTTGGCGTTCGGCTCTCAAGCTACAGTCGCCCCTACTATCATCCCGCAAGCCCATCAGAGTCCAAAACCCAGTTTTAAATCATCTGAAAGACACTCGGGTCTGGGACAGCGGTTTCATAAACGGTCGGGCCCGCACCGACCAGGTTCATCCTAAACCAGTTTCAGCCATTTTGAAACTGGCTCACATGTGCTGAACTTATAGGTTTAAACCAGTTGCTGATCGCTGAAACCAGCTGACGTGCCCCTAGCTTCGAAGGAAGCGTGGAAGGGGAGGACCCATGCAGGAAACAGCACCCCTTGGAAACACGGGAATCGTATTCAGACCATGCGTCCAGGGTGCTGTGCTCACCCCCAACGCTTCGGGGTGAACGTGGTACCCACGTGAGCCACCATCGCCCCCTCTCTCTCCGGCACAACTGGCAGCCAGGAATACAAAGAAAGAGCTGGGAAGCAAGGGAGATGCGAGGCTCAAGTGCTCCTTTACCTTTACAGGCCCCTGCAGCTCCGAGGTGATAGATCCCAGCTAGCACACGCCAAACGGCTTTCTGCTCCTCCGCCGTGATTCCCAAAGTCTCCATAGCAACTTGAAGCTGGGCGAAGGATGCAGAAGCCTTCTGCTTATCTTCAGCCTGCAAGGGGGAAAAAAGACACAACAGGAAAAACTTAATGGCCCCCCCAAGGTACAGCAGGAGAGCCTCAAACATCACCGACGCTCCCGTTGGGCACTGGAAGATTATAACAACCAGCCCCAACTTGGCAGCTGCAACACCTCTCCACCAGAAAAATGCCCTTTCAATCTGCATCAAAAGTTCCCTTCACAGCGTTGCACCGGGGAGGAAAAAGCAAACAACAACACTGCAATGAAGCTGAGAGGCGCCGGGTGGTTTCCACTTTTCGTTTCGAAAGGACTTGGTGTCGCAGATTTACGCTACATTAGAACAGAACGTTTCATAAATGCCGAATGGGAGCAAAACACACCTCGCCTGTCACCAAAAAAAAAAAAAAATGCTTCAGTGGACCCAAAATGAATTATTTTCCCAGAAAAATGCCATTTCATTGGAAATTAGGAACCTGTTGGGTTTTCGCCCCCAAACTGGAACAAAAATACACATTTCAAAGGGTCAGGATTTCCCGTGGAAAAGCTGCTCCAGATTACAGCGAGCTCTAGTGGGGGTCTCGTCCATGCCCATCTTGCTCTGTGGTCCATCCTTTTGCATCAGGACAGGGGGCAGGATAACACAGGCACCTTTTGAGCCCTCTTGAGGCAAAAAAACACCATTGCTGCCATTCGACCCCTGAGATCCCAACTAGCGCGGCTCTTCCTACGGAGGTTTTGGATTGGAAGAAAACTGTAATTCTTTCTTTTTAAGGCTTCTTCCTCGATAGAGGCAATCGATGCTGCTGAATTAAAATTATAACCTGATTTTTGAGAAGGGCGATGAACCTGCTGGAGCTAATGGGAGCAGCCAGGACCCTGGAAGACAAGGATCCGCTTTGCTTGCTCTCTCATGGTTTCTAGGCCCCCCGACAAACTAGAGAGTCCCTTCCCCAGAGATCATTTTCTATGAGCATCTACAGTATTTCCTACAGAAACCTAGTACATGGTGGTGAAATACTGCTGGTTTAATGCCGACTATGTTCTAAAGCACATTTCCTATGCGGGTTTTTAAAGTCCGGCCAGGCATTTATAAACCTCAGCACACCAAGCACACACCCAGGATTGTTCACCTTTGGGACACGCTACAAAAGCTCATCTCCTTTTAGCCATTTTGGGAGGGGAAAGGCTGGGCAAGGCCCAGGCAATACATGGAAGGCTTCCCTGTCTATGTCCTTTCAAGATGAATGAGTTTTGGTATGAGTAAGAGTTCACCAAGCAATAGATGGGCACTGTCTGCAGATCATAATAAATTAATACTTGCAGGAGGAAACAGAAAAGGGACTAAATGTGCAATCTCCCCCCCGCAGTGGAATTACAAGCCTCGGCATGCAGCATCTCAAGTAGGAGGGAAAGTACATTTAACTGGCCACGTTTCTAATACGCCTCCTATTGCAATAAGGACTTTGACACCGTCACAGCACCTGCAGCACAGCGCAGAAGAGAAGCCGAACGAATGCAGCCCTTCGTCATTGCATTGCAGGGAGGAAAGGGGCTCCCCCAGGGACTGGGCCTTGGGTTTTGTCTCCTTTCCCTGGCTGGGAAAACTGCTTCCAGCCACTGCAAGACACGGCCTTGAATAGCATGTCATCAAACACCCCACATATTTCTACCTCAATCTGCATTTCTGAGAGTGGTTCACTTGAGGAGATGCCCTTTGCAGTGCTAGGCTGGGCTCCAGGCTGCTTAGCAAGACCTGGGACGTGCCATACAGAGTCGCGATGCTCTGCCGTGTACCCTACCCAGGCCAAAAAATTAACTACATGCTGCCACGCATAGCGCGCAACCCGCTAGTGCCCTGAGCAGCATCAGGGGAGTTAAAACGTGGAAGATAACAGCCTAGCTTTAGTAAGGCAGGACACTGAGGATATTTTCATAGTTTCATTGGTGTTAGGGGCTGGAAGCAACAGATCATCGGGTCCAGCCCCCCTGCACTTGGGCAGGAAAGACAACTGGGATCAGATGACCCCAGCAAGGTGGGCATCAAGACGGGGGATTCAGATACATATGGTTCAGATTTATAATACAAATTATGAAGTATACCACAGCAAAAAACCCCTTTGGCTCCTTGTCTGGATTGCACCATCCCTTTAGTATACAAGGCACACTTCTGCCCCCAGAAGCAACCCCATTCAAATTAGTGCTGTCCTCCCAACAGGGTGCCTGGGCACACGGCACCATCGCAAGGTGGAAAGCATCAGCTCCTTTTTTA